TTCAGTCCCAGTGAAAAAATTCTGAAAATCTGTTTCACAACAGTGTCAATATACACAACGCTGCTCAAGTATACACTTAAAAACAGTTAAGACGGTAAGTTTTGTGTTCTGTGTTTTTTACCACAATTAAAATTGCAAAAAAAACTTTAGAAGAACGGAAAATTATGACCAGTTTTCTTCATGAATACAGATGCAAAAATCAACAAAATACTAGCCAACTGAATCCAGCAACATGTGAAAAAGGATTGTACATCATGACCAAGGTTGGTTCAATGGTGATATACCATATTACTAGAATAAAGGTGTGAAAACTACATAATCATCTCAGTAGATGAGGAGAAAGCATTTGACAAAATCAGTACTCTTTCTTGGTAAAAACACTCAACAGATTATGGCTAGAAGGGAACTGCCTCAACCTGAAAAAGGTATCTACAAAAAGCCCACAGCTATCATCATAGTTAATGTTGAAAGCTTTTCCCCTTCGATCAGGAATAAGACAAGGATGTCTGCTTTCACCACTTCTATTCAATATTATGCTAGAGTTTCTAGCTAGAGTAATTAGACAAGAAAACAGAACTAAAATCATCCAGACTAGAAAAGAAGTAAAACTATTTCTGTTTGCACATGGTATGGTCTTGTATATTGAAAATCCTTAGGAGTCCACAGAAAAAGTATGTTAGCTAGAAAACGAGCTTAGCAAGGTTACAGGATACAAGAACTAGGAATAAATGGGGAATGTACAATCCAAAAATGAAAGTTTAAAAAGTGATTTCATTTTACAGTAGCATCAGAAAGAATAAAATACTTAGGAGGAATATGTTTAACCAAAAAAGGTGTAAGATTTGTGTACTGAAAACTACAATACAGCAAAAGAGTTTAAGAAGGCCTCAATAGATGGGAGGGCATCCCATGTTTCTGAATTAGAAGACTTACTTAATATTGCTAAGATGGCAGTCCTACCCAAATTGCTCTTCATATTCAATGAAAATTCTAACCAAAATTCTAACTGCCTTTTATGGGACCTGGAATAGTCAAAAACACTCTAAAGAAGAAAAGCATGGAAGGACAATTTCAAAACCTGCTTCAAAGCTCTAGTAATCAAGACAGTGTGATAACTGACATAAGCGTAGACATAAATGAGTGAAACAGAATTGAGATTCAGAAATAAATCCATATATCTATGATGAGTTTATTTTCGACACGGGGCAAAGTTAATTCAAAGAGAAAGAATAATCTTTCAACCAGTGATGCTAAAAGAACTGAATATCCACATGTAAAAAATGAACTCGGATCCCTACCTCATGCTATGTACAAAAATGAATTCACAACGGATCAAATACCTAAATGTAACAGCTGAAACTATAAAACTCTTAGAAGAAAACATAGGGATAAGTTTTCATGACCTTGAATTGTTGCAGTGGATTCTTAGAAGTGACACCATCAGGACAAGCATCAAAAGAAAGATAAATCAGACTATCAAAATTAAAAACTTTTGTACATCAAAGAACACTATCAAGAAAGTGAAAAGACAACCTGCAGAATGGGAGAAAGTGTTTGCAAATCACATGTATGATAAGCCTTTGTATCCAGAATGTATAAACTGCTTTTACAAGTCAACAACAAAAAGCTAATCTTTTTTTTTTTTTTTTTTTAAGTGGGCAAGGGATTTGAATTGTATATTTCCCCTGGAGAAATGTCTGATAGCCGATAAGCACATTAAAAGATCCTACACATCGTTAGTCATTAGGGCTATGTAAATAAAAATCACCATGAGGTACCACTTCACATCCACTAGGATGGCTATAATTTTTAAAAAAGGAATGGGTAGAATGTGGAGTAATTGGAACCCTTATACATTACTGATGGGAAGGTGAAGTGCTGCAGCTGCTGGGAAAAACAGTTTGGCAGTTCCTCAAAAAGTTTAACAGAGTTACCATATGACCCAACATTTCCACTCCTGAATACATGCTCAAGAGAATTGAAAACATATGTTCACACAAAATCTTGTACATGAATGTGCATAAGAACATTATTTGTAATAGCCAGACAGTGAAAACAGCCCAGATGTCCATCAACTTATGAATGGATAAAATGTGATAAATCTACCCATTGGAATAGTAGTCAGCTATAAACTGGAATTAAATACTGATACATGCTACAACCTGTACAACATGAATGAACCTTGAAAACATTATGCTAAGTGAAAGAAGCCAAACACATATTGTATGATTCCATTTATATGAGATGTGCAGAATAGGCAGTTCCATACACACAGAAGGTTAGATTAGCAGTTGTCAGGGTCTGGGGACAGGGAAGAATGAGTAGTGACTGCTAGTGGGTGTGGAGTTTCTTTGGGGGTGATGAAAATGTCCCAGAACCAAATAGTGGTAGTGGTTGCACAGCCTCACGAATATACTAAAAACTACTGAATTGTATGCTTTAAATGGTGACTTCTGTAGTGGTTGAATTATATTTCAATTTTTTTAGAAGTCAAAAAAAGTCAAGCTCGACAAGCGTTAGCTGGTGGAGATACTAACCTATATCATTCTGAAGATGAGAGAAGAAACATTGTAAGGTGTTTGGGCTTAAAAACAAACAAAAAATACAGTAATCATTATCACAAGAACTAGAATTTGTTGAAGTGTGTCCTAGAACTGGAAGCCCATCTAACTTGTGACATGGACCACTATCTGACTTCAGATCTAGTCTTTATAACTCTTCTAAAAACAAAGGGATAAAGAGTAAAAAAAAAAAAAAAGCCTCTGGGGTAACCACCTTAGAAGCAGAAAGGAGCCTTTTTGGAACTGTTCCTCTTCTGGCCTGAGTCAGAAGGGACCGGTTAAAAGGCAAGGGGATTGTTCCATGAAAGGGGAAGTTAACATTCTTGAAACACAAACCAAATCTTTTCCATATATTACTTCTTCAAATATACAGGTGTGCTGGAATGTTGATCCCCTCAGGGCAGCAGAGCAGGGTCTGGGCTACACATCCACTGCCCCAGGGGTCTCCCTTTTAACCCCGCTGTGTGTAGTACGAATGTTTCCATTTCCTATGTGTGTCATGAAATGAAATGGTTAGGGAAGAAGCACTGCTCTTAGGGTCATCTCTTTAAGGTTCTCCCTACCTGCCTTATCATCATGTACTGATCGCCCTTAATTGTCATTGCCCCTCTTAAAATATGTCAACTACTTTTCAGAGAGCTATACAGCAGTTCCCAAGTGCACCTAGCTAGGAAACAACAAGGTTAATTTGGTGTAGTTATATTTTTATAGAGAGAGAATGCATAATTGTTATATTTTTATTTCCAACGTACTTACAAATCAAATATTAAATAATCCAAGATGGAATTTTGTTAGCGATCAATGTCAAACCTTATTGGATTATAAATTCCAGAAATAAGGTTTTGCCTACTACTTTTTAAAATCTTTGCTCTTCTGACATCTCTATACTTAATAATAATTTTGAGAAGGTTATAACTAATGACGCCAGGTCATTTCTGCAGGTTCTTTCAACGTTAGACTTCCTCGCAGATAAGAATACACTTAAAGGGTCTTCCAGGGTTATTCTCTGACTTAACTGGGACCTATGAAACATGCTAACAATTATTTATAAGCTGTTTAGAGCAAGAAAACAGATAGGAAACCTTGATGAGGTTGAGATGATGTGAGCAGATAACAGAGAATGTCTGTGTGTGTATCTGTCACTTTGTTTTCATGCTGAATAGAATGTCAGTCTTCCCATTTGAAATGGGTAGAATACGTCTTGCTTTAGATGTGACTTTTAACTTGTTTTCTTTTAATGGATACTTTACCATCTGAATTGTGATCAGGTGTCATTTGTAGGTTAGTTTCTGTTGGTCTTGGCTGGGAAATATATTTTGCTAGGAATATATTTTGACTGGATAGTTCTACTTTTTGACTTAGTGAATTAAAGAACATCTCCAAATTGTTGACCTAATTTCCTAAACATAAGTAGAAGTAACACTTTATACCTTTAAAAAATTCAATTGGGGGCTTCCCTGGTGGCGCAGTGGTTGGGAGTCCGCCGGCCGACGCAGGGGACACGGGTTTGTGCCCCGGTCCAGGAAGATCCCACATGCCGCGGAGCGGCTGGTCCTGTGAGCCACGGCCGCTGAGCGTGCACGTCCGGAGCCTGTGCTCCGCAGCGGGAGAGGCCACAGCAGTGAGAGGCCCGCATGTCGCAGAAAAAAAAAAAAAATTCAATTGCTGGGTTTTGTTTTTGGTTTAGTATTGATAACTTTTAAGGTTTGGGAATATAGTTTTGTTTCACAAATTGGTTCATGTTTATCATGTCTGCAGCCTCATTTTGACTCATTTTCGGTGTCCATTCTAGATTGGTTCTTATATTTTAGTGATGTTCAGCCTTAATGAATGAATTAGTACTGCTAACGAAATGCGAAAAATTAAGGCATGTACAACATTGTTCTTCCAGTAAAGTACTGCCACAGCCCATCAGACACTGACTGGGCATATTTCTCCCCAACCAAGAGTTCATACTGCACGACTTCTAGTTGGTGGGGATCTTGTGGCCTAACTGGCTTCTGTCTGTTGAACCCAAAGTCTCCTCAGAGCCCCATTTGAAATCACTGCTTTAAAAAAAAAAAAAAAAAATTTTACGTTTGATGGGTTTTTTTAATGTGCCTAATTCTTTCAAAAGTGACAAAATATTTTATATGCTTTTTGTGACTTTATTTTCAATTAAACTCATGATGTATTCTTTACCAAAAGGTTTAGAGGAATGCAGATTGCGTGTTTGCAAGGATTTTCCTAGTACACATGATGGTACATGATATTCTTGAAGAATATCATCTAAGTACCCAAGAATTAGGAACATTTTTACTCACAAGTACTAAAGAGCTCTAAATTGAAACATTTTCAGAATACATCTTGAAAATACTCAAAATGATAGTGGAAATGACACCTGTAGTGTTATTAAAAGCGAGGTAAAATATTTTCATTAGTAATCTTTATTTCCTTTAGGGTTTAATGAAGAAATTCATTCGGTGTTCTACACGTGTAACTGTGGGAACGATTAAAAAATTTCTAAGTTTAAAACTAAAACTTCCAAGTTCTTATGAGGTAAGTTAATAATCTAATCTTGAGCATTTTGATAATTCTAATCTGAAGTAAAATTCTAATAAATTAATTTTGTGGAAACTTTGGTTTCATGTTAAAAATTTTTGGAATGTAATATTCTATTTGTGTAATCTGTGTTTTTGAATTTAACGTCCTGACTAAAACATGATACTAATAAACCTAACGTTTTATAATTAGAGGAGATATTTAAATAACATTAAGTATTCTTGAAATAAATATCCCAGCTAAATGGATACTTTTTTTTTTTTTTTAATGCCAGCATGCTTTATGGTATGTCTTTTTCTTTCAGTCTGAGACCTTTCAGTCCATTTTAATGAATTCTTTATAGACTTCTTTTTCAGAATGTAAAACATTGTCTTTTTATCAAAGGGACTTTGTAATGTTCATCTAGTTCTGTAACATGCAAAAATGATATTTGCTTAGACCCAGGTAAAACCAACATACTGCATCTGCATACATGTAGTCTACTAGTTTCTTACAGAAGTCAGTTGCCCTGATGTTGATCACAGTACAGCTTGTAATGTGTGCAGTGTTAGAGAATGTTTATGACCCTATAGCTCTGGCTATCCCTTACAAGGAGATGTGGCTACCATTTCTCACCTGCCCAAACGGCAGTCTTGCAACTTGTGTGAATTTCCTCTTCCTCCCCTTTGAGTTCCTCTAGTCTCATCTAAAACAACTAAAGATCGAGGCTAGCTTCCAGTATAAACAGAGACATCAAAGGAAAAATAGTTTTTCAGGCTTATGTACAATAGTATTCATATGAACAGTCATAGTAGAAATTAAACAGGATTTGAACATAGGTATTGACAAGTATTAAGTCTGTATTTTGAGGAAACCTCTGAACCTGACCTTATTTTAAAATGTCTTGCAGATGACTAATTAATGTATGGATTAAGAATTAATTCTTATGTGTTTGGTCCTATAAAAAAATTTCCAGAGATAGTAACTTTTACATTAGGAAAAAAATTGTGAATGTTAAAGCCATATGTACTTGATAAAAGTAAAAGAAAAAAAAAGATTTATAGATATAAACACAGTGAAATAGAAAATGAAATTGTTTTTATAATTTGGTTTTGCTCTTTATTCTCTTCCTGCAAAATACCACTTGCAGTTTTATTTCCGTACTTTCAAGTGTGACTCATTGAGTTATTTTCTAGTTTTCAGGAAGTTGTTAGAGCTGAGAGGACTGTTGCTCTCATACAGTCTTACCACTGGCACTTACTACATACATTTCTCTGTAGACTTTTCTATAGAAAGGATGGAAGGGGGAGAAACTGAATTCACTGACATCTCCTTATCTATCCCAATGCAAAGAACTTTCCCTATGATTTTTAGTAATATTTACTGTTCCACCCCTTATTTTGCTGCCCCACATGTAAGGGGATGATTTAATGACATTCCTAACAGCTGAAGCGTCTGTAACAGCACTGGTAACTGGGGCAGGATGGTTTGGTTTTCAAATGACAATAATGGAAGCTGCGTACCTAGTTGGGAATTGCATCCTAAGTAAGTCCCTTTACCTCTTTGCTTATGAATTTATTTTACAGGCAAGATAAAGAAAATGAAACTATCTACTTTGTTCTTTTAAAAACAAAATGGTGTCTGAAAAACATTCTGAGGTCCATTTAAGTCACCATAAATCATCCAGAAATCAATATAATTTAGCTAATAATTTATCTAGTACAATTGGAACTATACTCATTTTAGACTTAAAGTTCAAAACTCCAGTCTCTGTCTAGCCAGACAAGAATTATTTAAAAGCCATTCTTCCTCCTTTCCATACTTTAAATCCTATCAGTTTGCTTTTAATCTCTAGAAAACCGAAATTTTTATTTATAGGGATCTATAATAAATGCTTGTTTAATGATGCTTTGTTGAATTCGTAAATCATAGCCACAGCTCCTGTGGCCTTGCTAAGGACTGGGGGCAGCAGGGGTTGTTTGGTGGCTGCAGCTCTAGAGCAAAAGTGAGCACTGATAAGTATGACCCTTTTCTGAAGTTCCATACAAGGTGGGAAGATGGCCTGGTAAATATTATGCAGGTTACCAGCTAAGCAGAGCAGAGAGGTGGGAGAGCCCTGGGAGATGCAGGCCTGTGGCCTGGTCCTAATTGCTCTGTCAGCTTGAATGCCTTGAAGCACCCCAAAATCATGTATCCATATCCATTCATTTACCCGCTGCAAATATAAACTAATGCAGAGGAGGAAAGCAGCTCCTTCAAATGAGAGATGAATTCATAAGCCAAATGTGCCATGAGGAATTATAAGGTTTCCACAATTTCTTCTCATTCAGTAAGAAATCACAGAAATATGTCTAAATCTCAAAGGCTGCACAGAGACATAGACTAAGAAGGTTCACATTGCGTTTCAGAATTAGGTGATGAACTTGAGATAGAGGTATGTGGGACAAGACAGACAGTGATTCATGTTAATTATATCTGAATTGTTAATACCAATGAGATGAGCCCGTGCTTTTAATAGAAAGAGCCAGTGTTCTTCTCAAATAATGGACACTACTTCTATTTTGATATAAGTATTTGAATCTTTTTGGAAATTTGGGGAAAAAAATGTAAAACACTTATGAATTGAGAATTATTTATGTTAATGGATCTGTAACTGTTCTTTTTAAAGTTGGATGTGCTGTGCAATGGTGAAATTATGGGGAAGGATCATACTATGGAGTTCATCTACATGACAAGATGGCGACTAAGAGGCGAAAACGTAAATTGCTTTTATATACCTATGTGTATATTTAGTTCTTTACCATTATGTTATTCAAATTTAAGTTACTTAGACACTTTAAAAACAAAAAAAACAAAAAACTAGCTTGGGAAAGAAGAAACTGGTTCCTCTTATTGTTTCTCAGCTACTCCATGATAGTTGGTCCCAAGTACAAGGCCGAGATCTGTGTTAGACGTGGTTTTGTTATATTTAAGGTAAGTTTAAAACATCAGTTTGAATATGTTCAGAACTCAGCTAACCTAGAGACGGAGGAGATAGCACTTACATTTTTTTAAACTCCAGTAAATTATGGGAACTTTTAAGTTCTGCCCTGACTAGTATGTTTAATGGTTAAGATATTGTTTGTGGTAGAGGAAACAGATAGGGTAGAATCTAGATAATCTTTTTTTCAGGTACCGACTTTACATTGAAGGTATAAAATCGGACCGAAGGGTAAGTGAGTTTGCAGTGGTTTCTGATGCCAGAATTAGATTGCCGTGCCTTAGGCCCCAGGCAATATGGGAGAGATGATTAAAAGGAGGAAACTAAGAAAATTTTTTTAAAAACCCAAAAGGAGTTTGTATTTTGAACTGTATCTTTGATTAGGGTTAATTAGAAGGTTCAAGTGTATTTTATCTGAGTTATATGTAACATTGATATTAGGGAAATTTGAGGGGCTAGGGATTGTAAGACTGATATGTAGCAGTAAGGAATACAGTAGTAATTATAAAAAACACAAAATTAAGAAATGCAGCCTCACACAATTACAGTGGCTCAAAAACATACTTATGTTGAATGTAAACATCTATGGAACTTTTTTTTTTTTTTTTTCAGAAGAACTGTCTTGGTATGATACAATAATAAATGAAACACGTAACTTCTTAATTCAGAATTTTTTTCCATTCACATCCCACTTGGATGACGCCTTCCTTGTGAGGCTGAGTTCTCGTGACCAGGAGGAATAAGTTATGTTCTAGTCCCAGCCACCAGCTGGTTGTGTGCCTTGAGGAACTCATGAAACCTCTCTAGGGCTCCTTTTTTTTAAATTCTAATTGTCTTTGTATTTGGTAAATTACTACTTGCCTATGACATTTTATATATTTTTTAATGGTTCTACATACATCACTCTCGTTTAATCCATCTAACCAGAATGTTTTGGGTACCAAGTGCAGATTACAGAGGCAGTCAGTTCTCTTGCCTGGCCCTGCTGGGGCCTAAATATTGTGATATTACACATAATAGTAATACCACAATATTGGTGTAATTTTAGCTTTCTTTGATAGTTCACTGGACACTTCAGTATGTGTTAGTGCTTGATATCATCATTATGAATAGGTTTGCCTTAAGGTTGAAGAGCTGTAACTCATCATCCACTGCAAGACATCTACTGATACTCACTTGTCCTTCACCAGATCCCTTCCCAAAGGTCTCCCACACTGCCAGTTATTTTAATGTCAAAACATGGAAGAGCTAATTCATAGAAATTGTTATTAATAAAGAGAAACCAGTCTTCACTACAGTTACGCTTCGATTACACATTTCCGAATAGTTTAAATTCCCTGGTTAAGGCATATTTTAATAAAAATTGGTTCAGAAAAATGGTTTAGTACCTTATTTTTATTCAGGCAAAAACACCCAATAAATAGGAAGAAGATGCCACATTTCACACTTAGCACAACAGTGAAGAAGTGGCCCGTTTCATTTCCTTGGCATGACGACCCTGTTTTTTGTGTGTCCTCCTCCTCTAAACCTGTTTCTCCCTCGGCCTTCACATTCTCATCAGCTCCAAGATTAATAGTTCCATTTTTCCAGTTTCTCAGACCCAAATCCCTAAAGTCAGTCCTGATTAGTTTCATCCATCCTTAGCAAATTCTTTGACCTCTACCGTCAAAATACAGTAATGAGAATCCAGTTACATCTTATCACCTCCTCTTCTGTCACTCTGGTCCAAGCCACTGTCACTCTTCTCCAGAATTTCTATAGATGTCTCTTAACTGGGCTGCATGCTTCTACTCTTTTTTTTTTTTTTTAACGTCTTGAATTTCTCACAGCTGTGTGTTTTAGTTTTTTTTTTTACATCTTTATTGGAGTATAATTGCTTTACAGTGGTGTGTTAGTTTCTGCTGTATAACAAAGTGAATCAGTTATACCTATACATATATCCCCATATCTCCTCCCTCTTGCGTCTCCCTCCCACCCTCCCTATCCCATGCTTCTACTCTTGCTGCCACCCGTGCCCCCTCCCATCTTCACCCAACACAGCAGCCAGAGTGACCCTCTTAACACAAGTTAGAACATGTCGCTTCTGTGCTCTAAATTATCCCGTACCATCTAATGGCATTTAGATAAAAGCCAAAGTCCTTCCAGGGACCTGTAGATGGTGGACCCCACACAGTTTTCCCCAAAGACATCTTTGCTCTTACCCTTTGCTCCCTCCCTCTCGCTTCACTGGCCTCTGTGTTTGTTTCCTCTAACATGCCAGGCTTGCCCTTGCCTCCCCAAATATCCACCTAACTTGTTCCCTTTACCCCCTTCACCCAGAGAATTTTGCTTCTACATCCCCTCCTCAGTGAGGCCTCTGACTTCCGTTAATAGTCCAACCCCTCTCCTGATCTGGCACTGTTAACCCCTTGTCATGCCTTGCCATTCTCCACAGTATTTCATACCGTCACTATACCTCTTCTGTATGTTTATTGTTTGTCCCCAACTAAAATGTAGCCTGAGGGCAGGGATGATTATTTGTTCACTGCTCAGTCTCCAGCACCTAGAGCAGTGCCTAGTACAGATACTCAGTAAGTATTTGTTTGAAGAGTAAATTGAATGAAAGTTTTGTCTTTTATAAGGTAGTAGTTAGGCAAAATATAGCTTAAAGGTCATTTTGTTTATTTCAGTCTGTTTCCCATTTGTTTTCTGTTAAACAAATTTTAAATTTTTGCTCATGTTCCAGTTAATTATGAGTTATTATAATTGATGAATTCTGACAGTTGGAGTGAATGGACAAACTAACAATAAAACAATTCTTTCTTGATTAAGCCCCTTCCAGCATATTTATTGCAGTCACATCCTTTCCCATCTGTACCCTTCATTGCCAGCAAGATGCCAGATTGTCTGAAAAGCTCTCGTTACTGTCTCTACTGGCATTGCTAACTGGCTGTGTCTTGGGCTGGGGTCGGCATATTTCCTAAACTAATGACCGCCTTATGGTTCTTTCACTTACTTCTGGTACTTTTTTATATTAAACATTTTAATCTACCTGGGATTTGTTCATTTACACACACACACCTACAACAAGGCTAAGACTCTAAGACTTATTCTAAGAATTTTTTGCCAGAAATAGTTTATTGAATAAGTCATACTTGGCCTCATTGTTTTGAGATGTCACCGTTATCTGTGCATATGTATCTAGACATATGTGTACACATGCAGATGTGTATATCTATGTTCCTGGACATTGTTTTGTTCTTCTGAGTAGGGCTTAATCCTACACCAGCATTTCACATTATAGCTTTTATAAAAATCTGATCACATAACAGCCCTATCTAAAACTCCTAAATTGTCCATTTTCTTTGGGATATATTTAAATAAAGTCCAAACTAACTTAAAAGGAAAATAGTTGGGCCTTCTAGGTTACTTTATGATGTCTATCAGCATCTGTTAGGAAAAAGCTCATTTTTTTTTTTTTTTAATTGTGTTGGCTAGTTTTCCCCCTTTATTGTTTAGGTGGGCTTGAGAATGGGATTGTGATTGGCATTGTATTAAATTTCTTGATTGACTTGGCTGGCATTTGCAGTCTTTTATTCTGTTTGGTGCTGTGGGGTGCCCTCTGAAGTTCTGGACTCTTCTCTGTGCCTCTGAGTCTGTGGTTTTCTTCCCTCTTCATGTTGGATGCCACCTCTGCCTTTCTGGGTCTTTTGCCTCAGGCAGGATCCCCCGTATTCAGATCACCTCTTGGCCTTGTCCTCTTGCTAGACTCCTGGGGGGAACCTCGGGGAGTCAGTTTTGCCTCCACTCCTCAGGAACAGGACATTTCTGCCTGTGCCACACAGCATCTGGGCCACTCCTCCCCTTTATCCTGGGACGGTTTCACTTCAGGCTCAGCCTGCTTTCTGTCCTCTGTGCTCTTTCTGGATCCTTGTCTTCATTGTGATGCTTTTTTTTTTGCAGTACGCGGGCCTCTCACTGCTGTGGCCTCTCCCGTTGCGGAGCGCAGGCTCAGCGGCCATGGCTCACGGGCCCAGCCGCTCCGCGGCATGTGGGATCTTCCCGGACCGGGGCACAAACCCGTGTCCCCTGCATCGGCAGGCGGACTCTCAGCCACTGCGCCACCAGGGAAGCGCATTGTGATGCATTTTTGAAAGACTTTTATCTTTAGGAATCAAATATCCAGACAAATTTAGCTAAGTCCCAGAAGTTTTTCAGTTCATAACAGTATTTGCACCTCAAGATTGGTGTTCATCTTTTGCTTATTAGTGGGAGAAAAGGTACCTTTTTTTTAAACCATTGCTTCGCAAACTTTAATGCAAATCACAAAACACCTGGGGAATCTTGGTAAAATACAGATTCTGATTCAGTAGTTCTGGGGCGAGGACAGAAATTCTGCATTTCTGACAAGCTCCCAGGCGTTGTCTGTGCACCTGATATTTGGGGCCACCCTTTGAGTAAGATGATTTTAGGGGACATGATCCATGACCACTGACCTGCCCTGTAGTTTCCATATCCATAAATTGAGGTGTAGAATTGAAGAATTAGACCTCAGTTTGGAAGGGACTTAATCGCCACTCTAATTACATGGATTCTGTTTATAATATCCATGCAGTGTTCATCACATTTTTTGAAACATAAATGGGATCATATGTATTGTTTTGCAGCTTCTTTTTCTCATTTGTTAATATGTCTTGTGGAGAATCAGCAAATTTTAAAATAATTATTTGTAACAAATTTATAGTATTCCACTTGTGTGGCTGTAGCATAATTTGATTAATATACTCGTTTGATTTGACTCGTTTAGATTTTTTTCAAATATCGTGACATGACAAACAATGCTGTGTTCCAGTGTATATATCTTTTTGCACATGTGGAAGCATATTTATTGGCTAAATTCCAGATGTGGATTTACAGCAGAGTATGCATGTTTTAAATTTTGATAGGTACTGATAAATTGTCCTCTAAAAAGTTTTTAGCAGTTTATAGTCATACCAATAATGTATGAGTGCCCATTTTCTGATACCCTCACCAACACTTCATATTTTCAATTTTGTATTTCTTGTGTGAAGTTTCTTTCCATATCTATTGCCCCTTTTTCCATTGTGAACTTTATCTTTTTCTTACTGACTCCTAGGAGCTCTTTATGTATTCTAGATATTCATCTTTTATTATGTATTTTGCAGCTATTTCCTCTCTGTTGTATCACGCTGCATAGTTTTGCCTCAGTTTTTTGGTCCTTAAAATTGGGGTAATAATACCTATCTTGAAAAATTTTAGTAAGAATTAATGAAATATTATATAATAAAGTACTTAGCAGAGTGCCGGACATAATAAATGTTATTTTATTAATAGCTTATGTATGTTTGCTTTCATTATTATTATAATTCTCTCCTCCTACACTTAGTCTCATGTCTGCAAGCTAACTGTTAATATCTCTGTCTCTTCAGCCTCAGCTTTCACCATGAACTCATGTTCTTCCTGCTTACCTTTCCTTGGGTAGGTTGAGTACCTACTCTCAGGATTCCCCCTTTTCCCAGATAATCCTGGTTGGTTTTATCTCTTCCAACAACCCCCCCCCCCCCCCCAGTCCCTACCTAAAGTTACTGCACCACGTTTGCCTTGCTTTGCTTTCTTTGCATTACCAAGCAAGTTTAGGAAAAGCAAACATCTACCTTGACTGATACCAAAGAGATTAATAGGAAACAAAACAAAAACAAACAGTGAAATTTGCCTCTTTCTACCCTCTTTACTTGTTAAATGCTATTTGGGACTTGCGTAGTTAGGCAAAGTCTGGTAGGCCACAGTGTGGGGAGTCTTCGGAGAGAAGGGGGAAGGTTGTCAACGATAGCAGTGCTGGGCGTGTCTTACAGCATGTTAATGAGCCCAGTACAGAAATTCAAGGACTAACTTCTAGGGAAAAAATTGCTAAAGTCTTTCAGGAAATGGAAAATATCTAAAATTTTATTTTAAAAGCTACCAGTATATTTGTTTTAATACTTGCTTATTTAAATATTCTTCCAAAGTATATTTTAAAAACCTGCTCTGGGATGATAGATAGATTTATCCTGGTTAATTTGTATCTCACTTTTTTTTTTTTTTTTTTTTCCGGTACCCGGGCCTCTCACTCCTGTGGCTTCTCCCGCTGCGGAGCACGGGCTCCGGACGTGCAGGCTCAGCGGCCATGGCTCACGGGCCCAGCCGCTCCTCGGCATGTGGGATCTTCCCAGACCAGGGTACGAACCCATGTCCCCTGCATCGGCAGGTGGACTCTCAATCACTGCGCCACCAGGGAAGCCCCATATTTTTAATCTTTTTTTTTCTGTTTTGAAGAAGCACACGATGTTGAATTCATATATGCATAATTTTAAAGTGTGTTATGTTTCATAATTCCATTACAGTTCAAATGTTTATGCTTAATAAGGGTTCAGGATAATATTGAAAAATCAAGATTTGGGAATGATTTTTTAATATGAATGGTTAACCGTTAAAAGATGGTAGATTTAGAAATGAATCTACTCACTGGTTTAAAAATATGTTAATTCATTGATTTACTCATAAAACATTTGAGTGGCTGCTGTGTGCCAGTTCTGTGCCTTAGCTCTTAAGATTGCAAATATGAATAAGAGTCAGACTCAAAGAGCTCACAATCTAATGCTATTAAAATAGTTATGGAGACTAAGAGTCTAATCGGAGGAATATAAAGAACCTAATCTAAAACAGAACATGGATCACTTACAGGCTGAGGCCAGTTCCCTGCCCCTCTCAGAGCTCTGAGATCCTCAAACAGTGTTCCCTCTCAGGGTGGTTGAAGAGGAGATCTAGGAGAGATTATTCACAGGAAAAGTTGGAAGAAAGAGGGTGCCCCTCCTGGATTGAGAAGGCGAGGGTTTTCTCAGGAATTTAGTATTTGAAGAGGAGATGGAAAGGATAGGTCACCGTTTTGGTAAATATTTGCAGAATATTAACAAAACTCATATCTAGAGACTAAAATAATTTCAAGCTAAAATTTACCAGTCACTAAGTTATTAAAGACTTTTTCCAAAAACAACTACCATATTTTGGAAAGTGTTTACTTAATCATGTTGACTCATGTTTGACGTTAAAATATTTTAAATATGTATCCAGTTGTGGATGCCTCTTATCTGATGAGTTCATCTCCTCCGCAGTTTCGGTGTCTGAACTGCTCAGCTTCGCAAGTCTGCCCTCAGGATGGCCCTTTGTATCAGGTAAGAGGCACTCACGACTGTACATATGACCCTCTGATGCCTGCCTGCCACAAAGGTGACTGCTTTCACCCCAAACTCAAGTTCCTAAGACATGTAACTTTGCAAAACTAAGACTTACTTGAGCTACAGAACTTCATCTTTTCAACTTATATCCCCAAAGTTTCCCATTATTTTAGTTCTCTTGAATTATCTTTTTAATTTTGCCAAACTAAAAATGAAGTTATAAATGTTCAGGCCATTATTTATGCATCAGGAATTGTTAATAATTACCGCTTTCAGCCCATGAGAAATCTCTGCTCCATATTGGATCTCTGCTCTATACTTAACACTTCTTTGTGTGTGTGTGTTTTTAATTAATCATTCACCCACAAGTGAAAGATAAAATGCCAGATTAGGTGAAGCTAAATAACAGCAACAGCTCAATGCAGTTGTGAGCTCGCTTACTAGGCCCTGTCCTAAGGACTGTACTTGAGTTACCTGTTCTAGCGCAGAAATGATAGTGAACTGATTTAGTAATGCACTGAGCAAACGTGAACATACCTGAGTAAAGTTTATCTAATATAAGTACATTTTAAAAATTTGGAGAACAGAAGAGACTAAGTGTAGGATAGTAAGAATTACTGTTGAGTGTAGAGATGATCTATGATCAACCTTAATCCATGGATTAACCATGGCATTTCTTAAAAATCTCCATTGTTCTTTTATCCCAGAAATTAAAGTAGTCTTCATAATTATTTCCTTGGAGCCAAGAAAGGAGAATTGTAATTATATAACAAACTTAACTAGCAGACTTACCTCTGATGTTGCAGTTTTAGGGTTGGGACAAATAATTATATGTTAAGTATTAGAAGAATCACTTCAAATCGAAAATGTTAAATTAGCATTTTATCTAGAATTTCCCTCAGTCTCATTGTCGGTGCTGTGATTGTGGAAATCCCCACACTGTCATTAAAATGTGTGTTTCTTAATACACACTTTTTAAGTCCTGTTGTTTTTAGTAATGGAGTAAGCACATTTAGCAACTATGAAGGCCAATAGAAAATCATTTAGAGAAAACAAAATCATACTTCTCCTTATATTATGCAGTTGAGGGTGAGGGGTGGTGAGTAAATAATTTAACTGAGCTGGTGAGATATGCGTAGATGTTTCAGCTGACTTCAGCTTCACGGCTGATTTTGAGATGAATTGTAGTGATGCTCCTGCCTTTAGTTATAACTCATACATACATGGCTTTTTGCTTTTACTCTTGGCACTGATGTCTGTTTATTTCCTGAGAAATAAAGATATTCTTAAACTCTGATCTAAAGTTTTAGAGAACTAGAATAAGACCAAATTTTCAAAAATGCACACACACTTCCTTTTCTGACTTCAGCACTTCATTATAGAGTATATAGTCCTGTCAGAACATCTTTAGCCAAAAATCACCTAGAAAATTTCAAGGAAAAAATTATCACTGTTATAAGAAAGTATTATTATATGTGTAGCTTTATGCTATTAAATTTTTTAATTTTGTGAAAATTTCATGAAATAGACAGTTTTCTAGGAAAATAATAGTGGACCAACATTCACCCAAGAAGAAAATGTAAATCACTAAATTATGGAAGACATAAAAAAAATTAAATTACAGATACCTAAATATAAAACTACTTTTAATGGTCACGTTCCCTCATATTTTCAAGGAATAGATCATTCTCATTCTAAATTGGTTTAAGTCATTGAAAAAGATAGAATTTTTCCAAATTCATTTTACAAAGGTAACATAATCGTGAAAGCAAAAACTCACAGAGAACCTGCAATTAGAAAACGAGTATCAAATCTTATTTTGAACACAAAAACAAAGATGATAAAAACATACTAAATATACTAAAATAAAATGCTAGAAGAATGATAAAACAAGACCAAGTAGTATTTTTATCAGAAATGCAAGAATGGCTTCATGCTGGGGAGAGGGAAATTATATACATATTATATCCTAAAAACACTAAGTCAAATAAATACTAGTAGATGCTGAAAAGGCATTTGATAAAATTTGAATGTTAAGTCCTAATTTTTCCTGCAAGCTTCTTATTTTGAAAAATTTCAAAACAACAACAAAGTTGATGTAATACAAAGGAGTATCATTTACTTTTACTTAGATTTACCAATTAACATTTTGCTACAGTTTTTGCCCCCCTTTCCCTTTCTTCCTCTTCTCCTTATCTCGTTAATCTCTTTATAAATATATCTATTGTTTCTTTATGGAGCCGCTTGAAATTAAATTGCACGTATCATGACAGTTGACCTCTAAATACTTCAGCATATGTTTCCTAAGATCAAAGACCTTCTCATATGTAACCACAATCCCACTTTGCACACAAGAAATTTAGTACATTAAATATTATAGTGATGTCAGTTCTTTCCATAATTAAATTATGAAGTTTAATATAGTTTCAAACACATTTTTACCAGATTCTTGTTTAACTTGACAAAGTCAGTCATTCTAAAGTTCATCAGGAAATATAACTTGGTGCCTCTGGTCAGTCCCATTTTTAAATGAGTGATCACGGGGCACATTCATGGCCACCTACTGAAATGTATTTTAAAGCTGAAGTAATTAAAATCCGGTACTATCTTAAACATAGACACATGAATAAAAAGAATAGCTCAGGAACATGAATCTATCAAGAGTATTTCAAATTAGTGGAGGGTAAAAAGATGAACAGGTATCTGTTGAGCCCTTAATTATGCACTGGGCAATCTTCTAGGCCCTGGGAACACAGAAGTAAAAATGAAAAAAATTCATTTCCTTCATGGAGCCTATACTCTAATGATAACAGATGAAAGGTAAATGAGTAAAATTTATAGTGTTAGAAGAAAAATTAAAGTAGATAAATGGAATATTTTAGATAAGATAGCCAAGGGAAGACCTCTTTGAGTTGGGGATTTTTGATCAAAAAGAAGTGAGAGTAAGAGCTGTGTGTCTATCTGGGGTAGGGCCCTCTACGCCGAGGGCACGCAGTGCAAAGATCCAGAGATGTGGTCGTGTCTGGTGGTTTGAGGGCTGCAAGGCGGCCAAGGGCCTGGAGCAGAGACAGTAGTTGACCGGGTATCGGGGAACTTGGAGCATAGATGTTGGGGTGGGATGTGATCTAGTAGGGTTTGTTTTCAGTTAATTGTCCTGAGACTTTTGGTGGTGGTGATGGGGTGGGGGGATTCAATCCATACCTCCCATTATAGGTGTTTTTCATGGCTAAAATGGTACACATTAAAAATGATACCATCAAAGATCAGGAAGAGAGTATAGCTAACTAACCTCAGAGTGAGGATGGCCTTTCTCATTGTACTTGTAAAAGGAAAGAAAACAAACCAAGTTGACTGCTAATACTGAAAAGTACATGGCAAAAATACCATAAATAAGGAATATTTGCAATATATGACAGAAAGTTTTGCTGCCCTAATACGTAAAGAATCCATACAAATCTGTAGGACAGAGTTCACCTGTCCGTAGAAAAATCAAAAGACATGATAAGACAAGTCACAAAAGAAGGAAACACAACTGGCTAGTATAAAGATGGTTAACTTATTTAGAAGTCAAAATGGAAGAAGAAATAAAATACTATTTTATGCGTATTAAATTACCAAATTAAGAGAGAGGAAAGGAATAGTACTCATTATTGATGAGGCTCCTGAAGAATGAGCACTCATATTTCTTTCAGAAATGTAAAAATAGAACAACTTTCTTAAAGTCCAGTGTGATAGCATTTACCAAAAAGCCTTTTAAAATGCTTATGCTGTCTGAATCAGCAGTTCTACTTCTAGGAACCAACTCTAAGGGTGCAGGGGAGATAGGGTGGGGAGTGGGGAATAGATCATTGGGTCACAATAAATTTATAATAGCAAAAAAAAAAAAAGAAAAATAAACTAAAATATGCAGTAAAAGATTTGTTGATAATTTATTGTACAGTTCTATAAAGGTATCATATGTAGCCTTTAAAAATGATCATGTATGACCATATTAAATACTGTAGAAATAAGTTTATGGAATTTTTTTAATGGACAAAAATTCTTTTATGGACAAAATTATTTACCCAACAATATGTGTAGCATGATTCCAGCTTTAAAAAGAAAAATAATGTAGACAAAAAGACTAGATGGATGTACATTAAAATGACTGTGGTGGTTATCTTTGGGTGTGGGATTTAAATGATTCTCCTTTTTTTCTTGGTGGTTTTCTATATTTTCTAAATCTAAAACCAAGTTGCTTTTATGGTAAATAATTTATTTTTTAAGAAAAATAGTACATCAGTCAGCCAATTTTTATCATTTTCTAAAATTATCACATTTGAAATACATATACTTTGGAAGTATGGATTCTTTTAGTAAATGATGAGACCGAGGACTGGCAGTCTCCACTCAGTGGAGCCCCATAACACTAAGAGGAGTGATAGGCCACATTTCATTACAGTGCGTGCAGTGCCATTTTACTTCAGAAGGCAAACTGAAACACAAATAGGGCTTAAAGTATACCTTAACCATTTCCAGTTTTGTAACACCAATAATTCTTAAACTTCACGTTGTCATAGGACACACACACATACAAATGGTTACTTGGAGGAGAAGAGAAAACCATTTTCAGCCAAAAACTGAGAAAATCCCAACCACTGACAACCAAGGCATTTTACTTCCCTCTCTTCCTACATCCTAGTAGAATTGGTGATGGATTCTTCTGCGCATGATGAATAGATTTTTGAACGAGTGACTTAATTATTTGCAGAAAGTATGCAGATTCAACAGGAATGGAAAGCAAAGCTAGAAAGATTATTATAATGAGAGGCAAGCTCTGGGTTGGGTCAGGTAGGATGGGAGGTAGTCAAGTTAGTTAGGTTAATACGATGTCTAGGTAGCAGTCTCCAACTCTGCCTGAACTTCAGAAAACCCAGGGAGTTTTGTAAAATACAGATTTCTGTGTCCCACTCACAGATATTCTGATTCAGAGGGAACAGAAAAAAGTTTAAATAAAAACAAGGAAGCGGGCTTCCCTGGTGGTGCAGTGGTTGAGAGTCCACCTGCCGATGCAGGGGACCCGGGTTCGTGCCCCGCTCTGGGAAGATCCCACATGCCGCGGAGTGGCTGGGCCCGTGAGCCATGGCCGCTGAGCCTGTGCATCTGGAGCCTGTGCTGCGCAACGGGAGAGGCCACAACAGGGAGAGGCCACAACAGTGAGAGGCCCGCGTACCGCCAAAAAAAAAAAAAAGAAAAGAAAAAAACAAGGAAGCAAAATTTAACCACAGTAGATTTAGACCATGGAAACCCTGAGAGACTGTGACGTTTACTCCAGTCCTTAGAAAACTGTAGGGCGCCACCTTACTTCTTAAGCTGGGAACAGCAAGATCTAGGAATTTTCATTCCTACCCTCCAGTCCAACCCTGAGCTGAATGGTGAGAGAGACTTCCCAGGATGTAGCATAGCAATGATACCTACAGAAACAGTCATTTTCAGGGTTCTGGAATCTCAGTCTACCACTTTTGTCTATAGGAAAGAAAGACAGGATTTTTGCATTCACCTACACAGAGACAAGGGGGGAAACAAGTCAGTAGCCATCTCAGCCCTTTCTTGTTTTCATAAAAGTAGCTCCTGGTAATTTCATTTTAAAAAGGGGAATCTGCACCTTTAAGAAAAGGAAAACCATTGTTTCTTCAGACCCTTTCTGACTTTGATGTTTGAGTTCTATGTGATATGACAAAACAAGGGGTAAAAAAGACACAGAAGTAGCAGTGTGGCTTTTACCACAGGAAGCTGTTTCCTCTCTAGTGCTGTATGTTGATGTATGATACCTTCCCTACATAGAGCAAAACGGAAGGACAGTCTGAACCATTCAATTATATAATAGTCAAGTCCAAATATTTAGCAGTATCAACTATTGAAAGGAGGCGGTTTCGTCTAACAATTAGTTACTTGTTTTTCAACATTTTTTAAATGACAGTTAAGTTTTCAATCCTGAAAAGAAGTGTCAAAGTTAAGATGTGTGATTTGTAAACACTATCCCAGTTTTCCTAGATTCATAGCAGGAGGTCTCTGTTAATTCGTGACTCAATGGGCTCTCACAAACAGCAGCCCTGACGGAGTCCAGCCTGCGGGCTTGTCTTGTTCAGCCCCACAGGTGAATGCAGGTGAGAGCTTTCCATCCTCCGCACAGGCCCTGCCTCGCCCTAAGTATTAACATTAGTAGCATTCACATACGCAAGCAGTATGACATCTGCGGGCCTTCCAGCTTCACCTTTGTTGCCAGTTATGGAAAACTTGACTGATTCTAGAAAATAGTAGCCGTTTAAAAATGTAGTCTTAATGATAATTACAACCTTAATTGTCGTAATCACCAGTAGCAGGAAATACTGTAAGCTATAACTGCACGTTCTTAAAGTCTTTCGTGTATAATCTATATTATTTTTGTATCAGCAGTCTTATCCATCATCTGTTTTTATTTTATAGTCATACCCCATGGTATTGCAGTATCGACCAAGAATTGATTTTGGTTAGACCACGGGGCCTAGATCCCACTGAATGAATCCTGCACTACGTGTTTACTCATCGACAGACTGCACAGTGAACGGTGTGTGGACTGGAGGGACACAACCAGATTTTCAGCATGCGAATAAGGCCATTGTCTGTCTCTAAATTGTCAGTTACATTTTTGTTGTTTCTATTAAGAGCAAACCAAGTGCCATTCTGCTACTGAACCATCTGCATAAGGTATCTGTGCTGTCTCACAGTGTACAATACAAGTCATGGTTGAAATCAGTTAGGTGTGCAGCCACGATCCAGCCTTCTGAATATTTTGCTTGCCTGTTCCAAGATTGTTCTAATGTTTGATTACACTAGTAATATGGCTCAATCTTTGTGGTGTTGCAGTTTTCACATACTTACTATTTGATTAATTCTTGTTTAAATAGAGTACTGTACAAGGAACTAATAATTATTATATCTTGAAATTATTTTGTATGGGAAATATATTTAGAAAAGTGGTCCTTGAGCCACTGTCCTGTTCTCAGTACGCTTTTTGTGTGCAAAATAGTTCACTCTTGAGTGTGCAAGTCCTTTGGGGAAGAATTCCAGTTGTTCTTTACATTAGAGCACATTATAATTGTAGGCATTTTGAGTCATCTGTCTGTGTAGCCTACCAGTCGCACAGGGAGGGCCTGTTCACCCTTCCAGAAAACGTATGTGACTTCTTGGAGAGCTGAAGTGAGATTCACAACCATTTGAAATGTTGGCAGCTGATCACATTTACTTCTAACAAAATTAATGTGTAAGTGAGGTTAATCTTTCATAATGCCTTATGACGAGCGGGTGCTGCCTCATGAAATGTCATCGCCATCGTGTAGCCCACTTTATGTGTGCATTGTTATACTGTGGCTCTTATCTAATGAAGTACATTGTTTCCCTTTTTCAGTTGGCCTTAGGTGTGTGTCACTGTGGCATGCAGAAGGTTATGATGATTTATTAGGATTTTTAGAGCAGGTAACATTAGCTATTTTATGGATTTCAAAAATCTCAAAGCAATTGTAGATTAAAACTGTTAGTAACCTGTCACATTTCCAAACCATACGTATAAAATAGACAGAATGCAGTGTAATAGATAAATATGCTAACCAGAATTAATGGTTTGAGGATATTTCATTTTAGATCCTGTAGTAATCAGGGGGAAATGGGATTATATTGTTTTATACATAAGTTCTTTAAGGTCAGAGCTATGATAATGTCCTTGATTTTGCATTTTTTTTTTAAGTCTTCCACTCATTTTGAGACGAGTCTGCAAGTCAAAAAAAGTCTTGTCACCTTAAATTATATGAAGAAATTCATTTTAAACCTCTTAACATTTGCATTATTTTTCATAAACTTCTTTGGAAATTAAGTTTTACTAATTGCTTTGAAACTTAGGCCTATTTCCTCAGTTTCAAATTTAACCTCTGAAATACTTAGGAAGTAATCTTGAAAGTTAGGAAAAAATATTTGTTCTAGAAATCTGACATGAGCACAATCTGTGTGTTACACACATAGTTTTTATACTGTATACATAGTAGATGTGCTACATTTTCCAGTAAAATGTATCACAAGGTAATGCCTTCTGAATCTCAAAATGCTTCTTAGAAATAAAACAGTGTACGACCCAAGAAACACATACAAAATACAGCTAAATCTTGATGCATTTCACAATATAAAAGGCTGAAACGTCATAATTATCTTTTCCTTATACCTTTGTTTTAAGTCAAAAAGTCTAAAGTTTTCTGTTGTTTTTGGCCTGACTTGTGAAAAAGGTTATGGCAATACTTTTAAAATTTCACTTTGTTAGACTGTGTTTGTGCTTGGAGGGGCTCACAGAGAGAATTTAAAAGGCAGATTTTTGTTAACTCTTTAAAAATGGTTGGCACAGACCGTTACCCTAAACCAGAAACTGAATTTACTCCCCAGCTACAGAAATTATTTTGCTACGCTGTCAAATGCAGTTCCCTGACATCCCTAAGAAATTTTTAGATTTCTTGTAAACTTGTCACATCTAGGTCAGTGATTACTTATGGAAGCTGATTTTAATTAACTTAAAATAATTTGAGAGTGCATTTTAAAAACCACAAATGAGACCTGGATGTTTTTGGGTCCCCAGACAAAACTCGCAGCCTTAAATGAGTTTTATATACATGATCTCATTAAATTTGGCTTGTTGCCTCATCTTATGTAGTGTCACTGTTTTCCAAGGAAATAAATAGGAAGCAATTATGGAATTGAGAATACTTTTATATAAAATTCCTTTATTTAATGTTAATATATTAACACTTTTATTGAAATGCAATGGAATATGTGCCAAAACATGTGAAAACCTTGCATAAAGAAGGGCATCAGTTATATGGGGAAAGGTACACGTTTTATGATGGTCCTGAGTAATGTGGTATTACTATTAGAACCACAGACTTCTTCATATATATTCAACTATGGTTTTCTAAGTATGGGACTACTTTCATGTCTAGTAATACACTAATCCCTAGTTAATTATCCTGAGTCAGGTTGTGGAATTTGTAAGAAACGAGGTATAGAAAAATTTACAGGCAAAAATATACAGGTGGTTAGTTTTACAAACTTGGGGTGCTAATAAGATAAACTCCTTATACAAATAGCCTATAGGAATAATCGTCTGAATCTGCAAAATTGGAGAACTAAATTTTTTCTTTAATCTCTTGTTTCTTAAGCAACAAACTGAAAGAACTTTACTTCCATAAAGGATTTTGTAATCTGTTTTCTCTGCTTTAGATATCATAGATGTACAAGGGTCAAGGAACCTTGGATCTAAGGAAGGCCTGTGCTTTATTTATAGATATCACTTTAACAGAAGTAATCACATTAGTTAATAGAAAAATCCAAATATGGCCGTTTCTCCAGATTAACAGAATACTTTTAGGTATAAAAACAAATAAACTAAAAGATTCACTGATGAGGTAGTATTAGGTCATTCAGTCTGAGGTCCAGGTACCTTGGGGTGATGTCTTTTAACTACTTTTAGAAAAGTATTTTTCTTTATTCATTAAAAATCTGTCCCATATTAATATGCCACATTTTATAAATGTAATGAGTTTGCTCAACTATGTGTAACTTAAAATGATTCTTTAAGGGAAAAAAAGTATGTTATATAATATTGTGAACTGTTTAGCTTTATTGAACTATTTAAGAGAAAGTGCCTCATTGCTAAAGTGCATTTCTGTTTTAGATTTACTGCATAAATTTTGAGTTTTCTGTCCCTGTCTCTTATCAATGGTTTTGTATCTAAATAGGCTCTTGTAAGTTAGAATAATCTCTTTTTGAAAGATTTTCATAAGAAAATAGTTATCACCAAAGACATTTTACTGTTAATAACCATGTTAGAGAGACAGTTTAACTGTTTGGAGGTTGGAAATTTTTAGACTGCAAGTTACTTTTATATAATTAGGCAATAACCTTGAGTAATTGCTAAAATATCACCAAAGAAAGGCTTTAAACTTAATTTTCATGGTAAGATCAATCAAATGCAGGTTTTTCTTGCAATAATCAGAACATACTTCCTTTCAGCTATGTTTCTTGTTTTTCCAGCACCATCTGACAGATCTTAGGAAATCCTCAAAGGTGAAAAAGAGATTAACACAACAAATAGCCTCCCTCTGGATGAAAAGTGGGAGAAATACATACTTTGAAAAGAAAATTGAAATTGAGATTTTAAATTCTAATTTGAGAAGCTTTTTATTCCATGGAGGTGATACAGACTAAAATTATACTTATTTAGTTCCTGGGTTCTTAGTAATGTGAGAAATTTTATTAAAGACAGACTTTGGTAAAAGTGCGGACATGCTTACTTGTAATAGAAAATAGTGCATTCTGTTGGATTCACATAAGTAAATGCATTTTCTGTACTCAAAAGCAGAATTTTCCTAAAGGCCTGTGGTTTTTTTTAAAGTAACTCTTTGTCTTGTTTCTCAGCAATGACTTTGTTTTTAGAATCTAGCCATGCAGCCAAATTCGGCAAGATAAGCCCCAGATGAAGAGCATATACACCAGGTTAAGCCCTGTCCTCACACCGATCTTTTGGGGAGCCCATGCTGTGGGCCACCTCAAGTAAAGCTCACATTATGAAGTCTTCCTGACAGGCCACCTGGTAAACCGCATTGGATCGGATAAAGATGGATGCACTCCATTATATACTCTGGTTTACCATAAGGAATTTTCCAGCAGGCTGTGCTTTATACCAGTGAGATATAGATATTGGTCGTGGGAATTACAAAAATGAGTGAGTTTGCCATAACTTTAATTTTCTGGGTTAGAAACATGAAATGCTATTATTTTAAGATATATACCTATCCCTACAATAAGGAATATAACATGTCTGCCAGATCTGGTTTATAAAAAATTGAAAAATATTAAATATACTAGAAACTCAAATTCTTTGAAAGCACAAAATAACCAACTAATTCTGGATTTACTTGATATACCTAGTTCGATAGTATTTTGTTGAAAAAAGTTCAGATTGAAAGTTCATTAAAATGTACTCAAATATACATCACAGGGTTTTCATAGTTTTTTCTTAAAACAGTGGCATTTTCCCAAATAATTTAAAAGTGATTCTCTTCCTAATGTAATGTAGTTTTCACAAGTAGTGTGTTTATTTGCTATCCTTACTGTATTTTCAAATAGAATTAAAATGCTCGAGCACTTCCTTTTCAGAAAGTTACAAAATTAAACAAAAATAAATTATTTTAAATGCTCATTAGAATGTGTCCGAACACTTGTTATGCCCCTTTCTCTAGGATTCAAAACTTGAGTCATTATTCAGAAATGCTTTTTAATTTTAATTACCTTTAAATCTAGAATCAAGTGAAACATATTAAATACTGGGTCCAGTTTTCTTCCATCGTTCAGAGCTTCATGGAATAAGAAACTAATCTAGTACAAACTGAAGATTAAATATTTCTGGGCAGTGCAGAGATAGTGAATAGATTATGTATCCGTCGACTTCACATCAGTCCGGCAGAGCAGGAGTCCTGCACATTCGAAATGGAATGGGATCAGCCTAACGTTGTTTGGGGTTGGTTTTCTTTCGCTGTATTTTTTTGAGTGGGGATGGGGGCCCAAAGTGTCCTTATGAAGCTGTGGTCGGCAAGAGCTTGTGGGGGGAGCACCAGTGTTGTGCTGCGTTCCTGCATCTGGCAGCACAACAGCAAGACCAGTTTTTAATAGAGTAGCCCTCACACTAAATAAACCCATCATAGACTATGTTGTACAGTTATGTTGCTAATTTTCCTTTGAAATATAAAATATTTTAAGTTTTTTTTTTTTTTTTTGGTCAAAAGTGGTAACATCTTAATACAAATAAAAACCTTTTTGTGGTTGTAAGATTTAGCTTATAAATCATTCAAATTGAAGTGAAAGATTACCAGGTCATTGTTAATGACTTAGTCTATTAAGAATATATGTATTTTTGTAAAGGAAAAGCACTTGTAGATATTTAATCAGTACTATATGTCTGTTTTGCAGAAATACAATGCTGCTTAGAGATTCTCTTTAAATATTTTTTATTTTTGTGCTCAACTGTATTTTCTGTTGATCTATGGAATGTTCTGTACAAAGCTGTATGGTTGTACTGGTTGGGCTAGACACTTTTGTTTTTTAAGATCTGGACTTAGCCAAGTATATTTGACCATGTTAAAAATAGTATCTTTGTTATTAAAATTTTGATTGCATAATTTATTGCTGTCTGTCATTCTTCATTATCAGTAGTTGCAGATCATAACCTTCATTTAAAGGTTTCCATTAAGTATTACTGTAGCCAGTTTTATGAATGTTTGTTGAATATTTGAGACGATAGACATTTTCTAAAGATTTCTGAACTGTTTACTTTTAAGATGGCAGACTGGCCCTCAAATAACACTTGAGGTGTGTGTCCACATACACTTTAGAACAATTTCTTTTTCTGTTAAATTAATCTAATCCATATCATCTTCTGAAAGTAACTGAGTACCAAAGAAAGGCCCAAGTGATTTGAAAGACAGACTGCTTTCTTCAGCTACTTAGGTAACAGCTTTGTTTTATTAATAACTTGCCTGGGGAATTCTAGTTGGGCTGAAGACAGACATTCAAGTCAGAAGGTTGTGATGCTTCATATCTCTGCCCCATTGTTAAACAGTGCCTGAAGCTTTGTCCTAGGTTAGTGATGCCATGGAGGTGGCTAGAGACCCCAGGCGTTCAGCGAGGTAGGAAAGCGGCATCCTCTGAGCAAAACTCCCTTCACCTTTCAGCATCACCCTTCGCAAGCTGTTGCAGCGTGGGAAAGAACTTGGGAGGACTGTACGTGGAAAGTGCTCAAAACGTAGCCCATTTTACTTCTACCCCGTGTCAGGGGCCAGAACAGGGGAAGGCCTCAGGGAAGGCTGGAGCACACAACCAAGGAAGAAAGGAAACCGTTCCCTGCTAATCAGCCTGCCACGCCTGCACTTGAGAACGGAGCCAGTTTACCCAGTTCTTAGTGTTTTGTCAACACAGGCTCAGCTCTGATCTTTTCACCAGTTTAGAAAGTTACGGAGGAGTCTGCACCCCGGGTGAGTTTAAGAGCCAGCCTCTGCTTGTTGTGTGGCCAAGGAATTTGCTGACCGTATTTTGCTGGAAGCCATGTAGAGTCCGGCTTGACACCCAAACCCCTGCTGTGGGATTTGGGGTGCCAGGATTACCATCAAATGGAGAATCATGCCCAGAAAGAAGAAACAGCAAATGATCGCCCCCCACCTCCCAAAGCTCTGCTCCTACCGAGCCCAGTTCAGATCCCATCAACTCCAGGAGGCTGCTGCTTCTGTACCACTTAACACTTTTATCACAACCACAGTAATTGATGTTTGTTTGTCCTCCCATTAGATTATGAGCTTTGAGAGGGATGTTGACAGTCATTGTGGTATATCCTCATCCTCACCCTCACCCTCACAACACGATTTGCATAGTAACTGGCACCAATAAAACCAATGTAGTGAAAGAATCCAGATTTCGGGAAGCAGAGGCAATGCTAACAAGTCTCTAGCCATTTCCCCAGTAGTCTCCTGATCGTTCCTCTTCTTATATGGACATCAGTCATATTGGATTAGGGCCTCACCCTTATGACCTCATCAACTTCAATCAAAGGCCCTATCTCAAAGACAGTCACATTCTAAGATCCTAGGGTTAGGGCTTCACTATTCAGTTCATAACAGCCACGTGGTGCCCCATAGACCTGGGTTCAAATACAGGCTCCTTCTGTGGTGTGACTTTGGGCAATTAACTGGTTGAGTCTCAGTTTCCAAAAGCAGGACCAAGATCCCTATCCCATAGGCTTGTGGAGGAATGAGAGGCCACGGGAAGTGCTCAGAGCAATGCCAGTGGAAACAACAAAGAACAGCACAGCCATTCTCCATCTCCATCTGATCATCCACAGATTGCAACCCGGTGTTACCCAATGTTCTCTCTGATTTGCCGGGAGCTAAAATGCCAACAAGTAACTCAAATTTTGCTTACCTAGAGCTATTCCAATCACATGGCCGTTCATAAAATGTATTCCCACTGAATGTACTAATAATATGTAAAGGATGCAGTCCAGGGCCTAGCACATACTTTACAAATGTCTTCCCTTACTCTCACCCATTTAATCATGAGAACAGACCAGTGAGATAAGAGCAAAAATAAACAAATGGGACCTAATCAAACTTAGAAGATTTTGCACAGCAAAACGAAAAGACAACCTACAGGATAGGAGAAAATATTTGCAAATGATTCGACTGATGAGGGCTTAATTTCCAAAATATACAAACAGCTCATACAATTCAATAACAAAAAAACAACCCAATGGAAAAACGGACAGAAGACCTAAATAGACATTTCTCCAAAGAAGATATACAGATGGACAATAGGCACATGAAAAGATGCTCAACATCACTAATGATTAGAGAAATGCAAACCAAAACTACAATGAGGTATCACCTCACACCGGTCAGAATTGGCCATCATTAAAAAGTCTACAAATAATAAATGCTGGAGAGGGTGCGGAAAAAAGGGAACCCTCTTACATTGTTGGTGGGAATGCAAATTGGTGCAGCCACTATGGAAAACAGTATGGAGGTTCCTCAGAAAACTAAAAATAGAGTTGCCATATGATCCAGCAATCCCACTCCTGGGCATATACCCAGACAAAACTATAATTTGAAAAGATACAGGCACTCCTGCGCTATTTACAATAACCAAGACATGGAAACAACCTAAATGTCCATTAACAGATGAATGGATAAAGATGTGAGATATATATAAAATATATTCCACTATATATATATATATATATATATAAAGGAATATTACTCAGCCATAAAAAGAACAAAATAATGCCATTTGCAGCAACATGGATGGACCTAGAGATTATCATACTAAGCAAAGTAAGTCAGAAAGGGAAAGACAAATACCATGATATTACATGTATATGGAATCTAAAATATGAAACAAATGAACAAAGCAGAAACAGACTCACAGATACAGAGAACAGGCTTCTGATTGCCAAGGAGGTGGGGAGGGGGGGAGAGGGAAGGACTGGAAGTTTGGGATGAGCAGATGCAAACTGTTACATATAGAACGGATAAAAAACAAGGTCCTACTGTATAGCACAGGGAACTATATTCAATATCCTGTGATAAACCATAATGGAAAAGAATATGAAAAAGATATATATGTATAAATGAGTCACTTTGCAGTACAGCAGGAATTAACACAACATTGTAAATCAAGTATACATCAATAAAATTTAAAAAAACAAAAAAACAGACCTGTGAGGTAGGCATTCTTAGCCCAATTTTTATGATGAGAAAGTGATCTAAATAACTTGCAATCACCAGACATGTATTTGGATCTTCTCTGTGGGCCTGTCTATTCCCTAGGGCGAGTCTGTTCTCAGGGACCCTGGCTCTTTGCATCTGAGAGCTGAGAGCTCTAGAGAAGCTTATGCTCAGGCCTTCTGGCCGCTCCAGGATGGATTGCATAGAGGATAAACATTTGGCAGCCAGTATGTGCCTAAGGTGACTGTGGTCAAGATGTTGTTTTGAGCACCCACTGTATACCAGGAGCTGTGTGAGGCTCTGGGGATCCAAGTGGTGAGCCCAACAGATTTCACCCTTACGCTAACTGAGCTTCCAGTATGGGAAAGAGATACACGTTAAACAAAGACCAGAAATACATAATAAAAAGAGGGGTAAGTTGTCTGAAGAAAATAAATTCTATGGGAAAGAATGGGAGGTCCAGACCTTTCTGAGAAAATGGCATTAAGTGGAGATGAGAGAGAAGCTGCAGCTGGCCAGGAGAGAGTATTCCTGAGAACGAGTAAGAGCAGGGAGAACTCCATGCTGCCCGGCCACCTGCGGGAGGTGGGGAGGGGAGGGGTGGCAAGGAGGAGAAGAATGGGAGAATATTCTGGAGAAGAAGGCAAGGGGCTGGGTCATTTAGACACTCTTAGGTCCCCTTGAAAACCTATTTTATTCTGAGCACAATGGGGGGGTTTCACACAGGAGCTTGACAACGTCCTGTTTACCTGTTTAAATGATCACACTGGGAGCTTTGTGGAGAATAGATGGTAAAGCATAGAAGCTAGAATAGACATGGGAACAGGCTAAAAGCCTAGAACAGTAGCCCAGGTAAGAAAAAGCATCAGGGTCCCAGACCAGAGCCATGGACCTCAAGATGAACCTAACTGGCGATGGAGAGAAGAGGGTTTCTTTGCACACATCACCCCCACCCCGGCTGCAATGTGCCTAAATTTAATGAAACCTAAGTTTTTAGGTCATAGGTGAAGCTCTGGATGGGGGTGGGGAATTCAGACCAAGAGGGTGGGAAGAAGCCACGAAACTGAGAGGAACAGCTGCACCCAAACTCCCAGCACTTCCTTAGGAAACCCGGAGTGGGGAGGGTGGCCGGAGCAGCGGGAGGATGTTTGGATAGGAGAAAAGGATCCTGAAAAGCCTGGTAACCAGGGCTCCCACAGACCCCCCTGCTCTGCTAAGCACCCACATTTCCTCCGCCAGGCACCTCCTCCCCACTAGAGGCCCGGCCCCACCCCCTGCTCAGGATGCAGGATGCAGGATGCTGTCCTCAGGAGCTACTGCTGTCCTCCAACCCAGAGGTTGTCCTTGCCCACTCCTTCCCCGTAACCCTTTACACAGCCCTGTCCTGTCACGGGCATGGGAGCAATGCGGCCCCAGACTCCAGTAAGGGCCCTAGTAAGGGGTCTCCCACTGATTAACTGAAGAATGGGTGAATTACATATTATCTCCTCAATGGTGACTGAGACCCTAATGTAAATGTGACACTAAACCAGCAGAACTCACGAGATGTAATTAACACACCTACTTCTTGAATCTGTGCCTCTCACAGCCCCCTTCCACTGGATGAAAACATCAGTAGCCCCGGAACTTTCTCAGCACACTTTAAATCACAAAATATGGTCTCAACTGAGAAATCAGAAAGTCCAGTTCAGTATATTGATCTATTACTCACCATTTTATTGCAAGGTTACACTTCTTCCCTGTTCCTAACTAGGGTCCGGTAAAGGGTTACCTACTTTCCAAAACTAGAGGGTTCCTAACTAGGGTCCGGTAAAGGGTTACCTACTTTCCAAAACCTCCTTCCCTGATTTGTTCTCCCTGGTTTGGGTACATACTTGGTGGGGAAGGAGGGGAATCCGAGAACAGCAGAGC